CTTTATTCATGACAGAATGTGCGCATGAGAGAGAAACAGGCACCCCTTGTAGGGTCTGGTCAGGCCGTGATCCCCTTCTTCCAGTCTTAGGCCTTTGTACACATGCCTGGCATGTTTCATGTTGACCAGGCTGTGGATTTGAATGTTGCAGCCTGGTAGGATCTGCTTTCTTTCTTTCTTTAAAAAAAAAATAAATTTGTGGTTTATTTATTTAACTTTATTGATTTATTCACTCATTTTAAATTTGACCAGAGGAACAGAGAAAAAGAGAGAGCGAGAAAGAGAGAAAGCAAGCTGCCAGGGCCAGGACTTGAACCATAGTCAGCCATGTGAGAGTCCAGTGGTCCCAGATCTGCCTTTTCTTTCCTTTCCTTTTTTTTTTTTTGGAGAGGCTTTTGCTATAGGGCACGTGCATTTGCCAGAAAGACAGAAAGAGACAGAGAGATAGAAAGTGAGAAATCACCCCCTGGGGGGATGGCCATGTCACAGTCCCTTCTCCTCCATTCTCCTCTTGGGACCTTGGGCATGCATGCACACGCGCCCGGTGTGAGTTTAAACCACCAGGTCCGGGACTTGAACCACAGTTGCTGAGGGTCCAGCAAAATAGCCGTTACGCCAACTGCTGATCCCAGATCTGCCTTTTCTTAAGCAGGGCATTACTGCTGAGCCACAGATCCAGCTCTAAAAATAATTAGATGTTGCTCTTACAACAAATCCTAGACCCAGGCACAACAGATCATGTGATCTTTATTTCATAAACAATCTGAGCCAGACTCAAGGTGTATCCCTCATCCAGGTATTCACGTGCATTTGTCACCTCCAAATCCTGGCCTCTGGGAAGTTCCATGTCTAAACACCCTTCAGAGAACCTGTCCTCTGGAGGCAGGCTGGGGTCTTCTCCAAACTAAGTCTTCAGCAGGCGACCTAAGTCTCCAGCAGGAGACTGGAACCACCACAGCTGTCTTAGCCAACAGCCTATGCATAAGGGAGCTTAAGAGAAGGTACGGGCTCTTTCTATGCAATTTTCTCTTTTCCTGTTTGGGTCTTCGGAAAAGTCATGTCGTAGTTTTCTGTGTCTATGCAAAAATGCGTCATGACTTTTCTGATGATGTAATAAACTATTGTCACTTCTATAATGAACTGTTACTTCCCACACAATCTACCCCTTCTGCACTGCCAGTGAGGAACAGTTGTTGTAATAGCTATAAACCTGCTAAGTAATGAAAATAATCTATTTTCCTAATATGTCATTTCCCAGCTCTGCTCACTCAAAAGCGACCCAATAGCACTTTTCTGGAGAAAGTGATGGTTCTAGGACTTTGACAGAAAAAGTTCAAGGTAAGCCTAAACCTTATCTTCTTATAAGAATGAAGCAGTAAAAAACTAATGAAGTCATGTCAAAAGGACACAGAAGTTGACCTCATAATACTCCCACAGATCAAACTGGGATAATTTGAGTAACTAAAAGAATAATGATGACAATGGACTATAGTATACAACAGAATAGAGAGATAACCTACAGAATGGGAGAAAATACTTGCAAGTTATACACTTGACAAAGGATTAATAACTGGAATACATAAGGAACTAAAGCAGTTCACCAGCAAAAAAACCCTAAACAATCCAATTTGAAGTGTGCGGGAACCAGCAGGTGGCATGGTGATTAAAGCGCAATACTCCGATGTTGATTGCGACTCAAATCCTGGCTCTGGTGGGTGGAAAATCACACCAGTTGTATGTGCATACATGCCCAAAATCCCAAAAGAAGAATAGATTGTGGTGTGGCCATCCTTCCCATGGGTTGATTTCTCACTTTCTCTCTCTTTCCCCAGCAAGTGCACATGCCCTATAGCAAAACAAAACACAAGGACAATCAAGCCAGCTGGTGGTATGGTGGTTGAGGTGGCTGTAGCCAACTGCAGTTCCAGTTCCAGACCTGGCAGCTTGAAAAACACACCAGGCGTATTTGCGTGCACGCTTGAAATACTGAGAGAATGAAGGAGAAGGGATTGTGACATGGCCACCCCTTGAGGTGTGATTTCTTGCTTTACCTCCTTCTCTGTCCCTGTCTCTCTCTGGTGAGTGCACACACCTTAAAGCAAAAAAAAAAAAAAAAAAAATCTATCTTCAATCTGATTCTTTTTTGCTATAGGGCACATGCGCTCGATGGAAAGAGAGAGAAGTAGAGACAGAAAGCAAGAAATCACCCCCCCCCCGGGGGGGGGATGGCCACGCCGTAGTCCCTTCTCCTCCATTCTCCTCTTGGGATCTTGGACACACACACGCTCCTGGTATGAGTTTAAGCCACTGGGTCCGGGACTTGAACTGTGGTCGACTACTTGGGAGTTCAGCAACCTAACTATTACACCATCTGTTGGTCCCAATCTGAATAGTTTTTGAAAGAAGGCATTACAAATGGCTAGTGAGGGGCTGGCAGGTGGCATGGTGGTTAAGGGCACTTGACTCCCACATGGCTAACTGTGGTCTGAGTCTTGGACCTGGCAGCTTGCTTTCTCACTTTGTCTGTCTTTCTCTCTTTCATTCTGTCCCTCTCTGGTCAAATTAAATAAAGGTAAATAAAATAATTATTAAAAAAAAAACCCCAAAAAACAAATGGCTAGTGAGCCTGTGAAAAAAATGCTCACATCACTCATCATCAGGGAATTGTAAATCAAAATTACAGTCAGGTATCACCTTACCCTAGTTAGAATGGCTAGTAAAAAAATCAAAGACTAAGTTGTACAGAAGGAATTCTTTTTAAGAATTATTTAACTTTATGTATGTATGTATGTATGTATTTATTTTAATTTGATCAGAGAGGAACAGAGTGAGAGAGAGAGGGAAAGTGAAAAAGCAAGTTGTCAGGGCTGGGACTCGAACCGTGGTTGGCCACATGGGAGTCCAGTGCCCTTAACCACCATGCCACCTGCTGGCCCCAAAAAAGAACTCTCTCTTTTTTTTTTAAAGAATTATTTAATTTAATTTAATTATTCTTTCACTTATTTTAATTTGACCAGAGAGAGACAGAGAGAGAGAAAAAGTGAGAAAGCAAGCCACCCGGTCTAGGAGTTGAACCATAGTCAGCCATGTGGGAGTGTCCAGCGCCTTAACCACCATGCCACCTGCTGGTCCCCAAGAACTCTTTTTTTTAAAAGAATTCTTTTTTCTTTTTTTGGAGAGGGCGCGTGTGCTCGCCAGACAGAGACAGAGAGATAGAAAGCGAGAAATCACCCCCCAGGGGGGATAGCCACACCGCAATCCCTTCTCCTCCATTCTCCTCTTGGGATCTTGGGCACGCACAAACATGTGCCCGGTGTGAGTCTAAGCCACCGGGTCCAGGTTGTGAACCGCGGTCGACTACGTGGGAGTCCAGCGACATAGCCATTATGCTAACTGCTGGTCCCAAAATAATTATTTTTTATTTAACTTTATTTATTGTTAGTTTTATTTTCTAGTTTGAACAGAGAGAGACAGGGAGTGTAAGAGAGAGGGAAAGTGATAAAGCAAGCCACCAGGTCTGGGACTTGAACCCTGGTTGGCTCTGTGGGAATCCAGTGCCTTTAACCACTACCCCAAGTGCCAGCCCCACCCAAGAAAGAGCTCTTAAGACACATGATTGGTGGGAATGTAAATTAGTACAACCATTATGAAAGACAGTAATGAGATTCCTCAGAAAACTCATGACCCAGTAATTCCACTACTGGATATATACCCAGTAAGGAAAGGAAAGGAAATCAGTATTTCGAAGAGATGTATGCACTCCCATGTTTACTGCAGCGCGCTTCATAATAGCCAAGACAGAATCAACCTGTGTTGGTCAATGGATGAATGCATAAAAAAATGGTATATGTACACAATGGAATATTATTCGGTCATAAAAAGGACAAATCATTTGAAGCAACATGGACAAACCTGGAGGAAATAATGGTACGTGAAATAGGTTAGGCACTGGAAAACACATACTTTATGACCTTGTCATCCATGGACGCTAAACAGTGGAGAGTGCGACAGCTGGTGCCAACAGTTGGAAATGGGGAGGAAACTGAGGTAAAGATACGAGAGTGCTTATAGGTGGTGGGATGAATTCTAGAATGCTATAGCACAGTGGAGCTGATAGTTGGTGACCATTCAATGTATACTTAAAAATAGAGTAGAAATGAAGAAGATAGGAAAGTAAAGATAATTTAAAAAACAGCCCAACAACAAACAACCTTTTTTCCCCCCGACACCCATTCCAGACTAAACATCTGCCTCTGGAGTGCTGGGTTAAGCAGGGTCTCTTTCGCAAGGAGTCCCGAATGCTCTACTTGTCTGAGCCTCCTGTTCCTCACCTGTACGCAGATATGGTGACGCCTTTACTTTATAGGATGTGAGAGCTGAATGAGATCATGTGTGTGACGCACTGAGGTCAAGGGGTGGCTGTTTATTTCTATCACGAGGAATGGACGATGTTCTGCGTATCCACTGGTTCTCGCTCACAAAGTAGCGCTGCCTACCCTGGCCTCTGCAGAGCCGGTAGGGGTCCCTTTCATCACTGTGCCCCCCCACCCCCAGTCCAACCCAGCCTTACTTCATTGGCTTTCTCGGCACCCGGTACCCCTCCCGAGAGCTGCTTTCCCGACCTGACACATGTTCCCTTCGCACCTAGAGACCCCGCCCCCTTCGCCCCATCCACCAGACTCCTCCCACACTCCTGTCCCCCCCCAACCCCGACCTTCATTATCCGGGCTTTTCCTACCACTGCCATCCACCCCGGCTCCTCCCAGCAGTTCCGCCCCTTTTATAGCTCTGCCTCTCGTCTTCCCAGTCCCGGAAAGACGCCCCTTCCCCGCAGCCACAGGCGCGGCCATCCCCATTTCACAGATGAGAAAGGCGAGGCTAGAGTCGCCCACAAAGGATTTCTCACGTAGGACAGGTATCCAGCTGGGCCTGCGTCCTCCCTCCGACAGTCCTCGGGCCCCGCTCCCCCGATCGCTTAGCACCTACCGCGCTGCACCCACCTCCTGCCCTCGCTTTGCAGCCTCCCCTCCGCGATCGGCCAGCGCAGCTTTGCAAGGGGGGCGGAGGGCCGGCGCCCAGCCCAGGGGCGTGGCGGCCCAGTATCCGCGCGCTGTGTTCTGGGACTCGTAGTTCCCCCTGGGTGCCTTGGGTCTTATCGCGCCGGGCGCGAACTCCATCTCCCAAGAGGCCTTGCGGTGAGCCGCCCAGCTCCCTGCCCCGCCCTCGCCAGCACTCAGCCCGGCTAGCCTTAAAGGGGACGCAGCCCGAGTGGCGGCGCACGGGGTGTCCCCCGTTTCGACTCCGCCCTGTTTCCCGCACCTCGCCCCTCCCCCGGTTTCTCCTTGCAGCCCCGCGGCCGCGCCGCAGAGCCAGCTCTCTGGGTACCTACCCGCTAGTGCAGAGCAGGGTAGGAAGACTGGACTTCGCAGTGAAGGTAGCATCCCCGCGGTCCAGGACCGGGAGGGCGTCCCCACCCGGGGTGGGAGCAGAAGACTCGCCCTGACCTAGTCCGGCCCAGCCTAGCCCTTCCCGCTGAGCGCCCCGCCCAAGAGCCGGCTCTGAGGCAGGGCCCACTGCGGTCCGAGAGGTAAGGGGGCTGGGGGTGTGTGTGGGTTGAGGGTGGCGGTTTTTGCACTCTGGCATTTCTAGAACCCTGACTCAAAAGTAGGGTTCTGAGAGCCAGAGGCTGGGAGGCAGGAGGTCTGAGTGCGTCTGGGGCCTCGCTGTGTGACCTTGGGCGAGTAGCTGCCCCTCTCTGGGCCTCATTCTTCTCTTTCAATTGTATTAATATATCGAGGTGATCCCGTTCCGCCCCCCTCAGGACTTAGGGTACCCTTACCCAATACCATGAAGCTTCCCGACCATTCACAGTGGGGCCCAGCACTGGCCTGGGCTGGGTGTGGGTACTCTGGTTTCCTGGAGGGGCACACCCCGGTCGACCCAGAGGCCAGCACTGCCTGGGATGGGCCTTGCTCGTCTCAGCATCCTTGGGGTACACCTGTAAGGTCCTTGCAAGTCTGACCCTGGTGTGACTGGCACCTTTCCTTTCGGGAAGCCTGCCTTAGGGCAGGGGCTCAGCTGTCAGGTGAGGGCTGGGCTGGCAGAGGTTTGCCAGGGTGCCCCCCAGCAGGGGTGGGTGAGTGTGGTGGGCTCCTGAGGAGGCAGTAGCCTTCTTCCCTTCTCCCCTCATCTACCTTCAGGAAAAGGGCCATTGCTTTCTGCTTTCTGCCAGTAAAACTCTTCTTTTCTTTCTTTCCAGGAGACAGTTTGGTGGTCCTGACAAGGGCCTCTCAGAGTAGGGTGGAGGCCCCTTTCCGGGCACCTTGGGAAGAGGTTGAGTTAAATGCAGAGAGAATGCAGCTGCCAGAGGTTGGAGGGACCAGGTGGAGGGCAGTTCTTTGGGGGAGGGGGAACAGCCGGTAGCCCCAATGGGAGTCCCAGGAGGCAGGCTGGGTGTGAGGGTCAGAGGGCACGGGAAGTGCTGAGTGGCCAGTGGAAGGGGCTGCTTTGCCCGGGTAGGGAGAGATGCCAGAGAGAGATGCTGACCCTCTGAAACCTCCTCCCCCCCTCAGAGATATTTTTCCTTTTTCTTTTACTTTGGTTGTTTGAATAATTTCTAGAATGGCTGGAACCTCTCTCAGTCTAGCCGGCGACCCCTAGGGGCTTTCTCAGGACTGTGGATCTATGAGACCAGACCTAGGCAGATGAACCAAGGGGTTGGTCTCTGAAAGGTCCTTTTCTGGTCACACCCTTGGTTTTTATCTCGTCTTGCTGTCACATGCCTCCTGTTGGTCACTTGGCACTGCTCCATGGCTTGGCTCTGGACTGGGCACTGGGCACAGAGAGGGGGACTGGACCTGCTTCCTCTCGAGGGAGGCAAGACCCAGCCTGGTGGAGCGAGGCATAGCATCCAGTTACACTGCAGAGACCCGAGAGCAGCCAGGAGGGCCTTGGAGGCCAGACCTCGGAGACTCAGGGTTCCAGAGGGGACGGAGAGGCTTCCTGCAGGAGGGGGCATGTAAGCTGGGCACTGAAGGCTGAGCCAGAGTTTGCCAGGAGGTTAGAGAGGGAAGACCCCTCCCAGCAGAGAAGATATCATGCAAAGGGGCCATCAGGAAACAGCCCACCTTCTATTTCCCACCAGCATTTTTCAAGTGTGCCCCCATGTCAGCTTGTATCACAGAAAGGGCTTGGCCATCCAGCCTCAGTTGGATCTTATCCTGAAGGGGCTAAGAGCCTTGAGCATTCTGATGGTCTTGCAGGCTGGAGCGAGGGGAGGGACAGTGATGTGAGGGTCGTGGAATATATCCCTCATACAACCTGCTGGATCTGCAGTGTGCTCCCTGCCTCCTTCCCTGACAGTGTCTGTCCCTGCCTCAGTGCCAGGTGTCCCTCATCACTGCCCAGGCCTCACCTATTTCATACTGTGTCCCAACCCTGTAAGTGGCATGCCGGGAATGTCCCATTTTCCAGGTAGGAAAGCTGATGAGCCAGGCAGGGACTAGCCTGAAGTCACCTGGTGGTCCTGGAGTTGGTAACCTGGCTCTCATGCCTTTAATGCTGGCTCTGCCGAAGGAGGACACACTGTTGCTAGCTGCATTTGACACGGGACAACAGCCTCTTGGGTCAGAGCCAGTGTGGACAGGCTTATCCAGTCTCCCCCTAGGAACACTGGCAGCCTGCTGTTTCCACTTTGAGAGAGGCAGGGTCCTGCTGTGCCCTGCTAAGGCTGTGTCCCTCTCCTCTGAGCAGGCCATGTCCTGCCTCCCTTCGCTGGCCTCTGAGGTCAAGACTCTAAGTTTTTCTTTTCTTTTTATTTATTATTATTTTAATTTAACCAGTGAAAGACAGTGAGAAAGCAAGCTGCCAGGTCTGGGACTCAAACCATAGTCAGCCATGTGGGAGTCCAGCACCTTAACCACCATGCCACCTATTGGCCCCAAGACTCTGAATTTCTTACATGAATGCATCCAAGATATTGAGTAGGCTTGTCGGTGGTCATGGTGACAGGGACTTCAGACTGCCTGCTGAGTAGGGCAGGCAGGGCTTGCTGGGGGAGTAGAAGCTGCAGGGCTGGCTGTGGAGGTCAGAGAGCTCCTGAATGATTCTGCCTACAGGGCTTCAGCTGCTGGGCACGCCCCAGCCCAGGTGGTCTGCTTCAGCAGGGCTAAAGGAAATGGGCAGTGTATCATGCAGGACTACAGGAAATGGCCAGTGTATCATCACTCCATTTCATGTGGTTCCATCTAATGTTATTTATCTCCAATTTACCGAGGAGAGAAGAGACTCAGACATGCTTTATTCAAGTTACACAATGAGTTGGGCCTAGAATCCAGGGCTCCTCCTTCCTACTCTGATTTTCTTCTACTTCTAGAGCTTTCCTTGGCCCCCAGACTCCATTTCTGCCTGCCCCAGGCCCTCTTCCTCCACATGTGATGCTGATACCACGTGTACTAGGGCTTCGTCTGGGCTACCTGGGATCCTGGGTTGGAAGCCTGTAGGGCAGGGGCCGGCCACCCCAGAGCTGAGAGGACAGACTATGTTCAGGCAAGGTAGAGCAGCTACATCAACTGCTCGGTATCAGGCGCTGCCTAGGGAAGAGGACCAGGCCCAAGGGAGACTAGTTTTGTTTTGTTTTTACTGGAAGAGAAAGCACAAGTGTGGGAGGGGGAGATTTAGTATGGTGTCTTTAGAATCCTCCTGCCCTGCTGTTAGCTCGGACCACCAGCCTACACCACTATGCTCACCCCATTTAGATTGGGCTGGGAACAGAACCTTTGCCTTCCCATGTGGCCTCAGCCATCATGCAGTGGTGCCCTTCCATGTTTGCCACCATGGCTGAGCAGTAGGTTTTTAAAAAAATTATTTATTTATTATTGTAAAATTTGCTAAAGCGCATATGTGCCTACCAAAGAGACAGAAACAGAGAGAAACTGAGAAAGTAAGCCACCAGGTCTAAGACTCAAACCTCAATCAGCCATGTGAGAGTCCAGTGCCTTAACCACCATGCCACGTGCTAGCTCTGGGCGGTAGTTTGTAAAGACAGATTTTAAGGCCTTTGCAATGATGACTCATGCTGGCTTTCTTTACAAACCTGTCTGCCTCTACCACCAGAGAGGATGTTTCTTAAGGTCAGGAGCTTTGCTTCCAAAGCAATGGGGACTGCCATTTTCTGAGAACTCCCTCATACCCAGAACCATGCCACCATGCCAAGGCCTTCATATTTGTCTTTACAACCTCGTAAGGTGGAAGGAGGCTCAGAGAGCAAAAGCAACCTGCGTGGTAACCACAGCGCATCCCAGATAGGCTGCACTCTGTAAAATAAGCGAGAGTCTAACACACTGGAGAGGGTCCTCTCCTTCCAGGTTCAGGACTCTCAGGGAGAACCCTGGGCATGTGACTGAACAAGTGCCCAGGTAGCTCTGAGATAGCCAAGCCAGAATTTGGGGATCTGTGTCATGCCATGGCTGTACCCATAGCCACAGTAAACCCATTAAAAACACTCACTATCCTTATGGGAGAGGCCAGTCATGGGGAAAGAAGCTCTAGTCCCTGCTGAAGAGCCCCCACAGCGCTGTAGAGACCCACTGTAGCACAGTATGGAGGTTTGTCACAGCTGAGGAGTCAGACAGACAAGGGAGCATTTCCAAAGGGCCTAGAATGTGGTTGGGATCCTCAAATATCTGAGGTCCTGAACAAAATTCTGAACAATTACACAGGAATTTTCTGGCATATTTTTATACCACCTCCAGATATCAAGAATAGTTTTATTTTTCGAAGATAGTTTTTGCTGTAGGGTGCATGCTCTTGCTCGCTGGAGAGACAGACAGAAAATGAGAAATCACCCCATGGGGATGGCTACACTGCTTGCAGACATGTGTGCATATGTGCCTGGCTCAAGTTTAAAGCCACTGGGTTCAGGACTCAAACCGTGGCCGGCCATGTGGGAGTCCAGGGATGTAACCATTATGCCATTTTTCAGAGGTTTTTGCCTTAGAGTGTGTGCACACACCAGAGACAGAGATGGTGAGACAGAAAGTGAGAAATCACACCTCGGGGGGATGGCCACACTGCAATCCCTTCTCCACTCTCCTCTTGGGATCTTGGACATGCATGCACATGCGCCTGGTGTGATTTTCAAGCTACCGGGTCCAGGACTCAAACCTTGGTCAACCATGTGGGAATCCAGTTATGTAACAGCTACACTATCTACAGGCCCCAAGAAGTTTTGTTTGTTTGCTTTTGCTGTAGGTTACATGCTGTCACTGGGGGAAAGAGAGAGAGAAAGTGAGAAATCACCTCTCCATTCTCCTCCCAGGGTCTTGGGCCCACACACATATCCATCATGATTTCTAAGCTACTCCATCTGGAGATTTGAACTGTGCCATAGGCCACATGGGATCCTGTGCCTTAACCTCCAGGCCACCTGCTGGTCCAAGAATAGTTTTTACCAAGCCAATGAGTAAGTTTAGTTAAACACTTACCATATTCCAAGCCTTATATTGGGTCCTGTATAGAGGAGCATTTTACAAAGAGGCAAAGAAATGGCCCTGCCTTTTGGGAGCTGAGAGTTGGAGATTAAGAGAGCCGAGCCAGCATGATGATGGGGAGTCCTTGGGGTCACAGGGGACACTGGCTGCCAGGAAACAGCAGGGTGTGGGGGTAGAGGGTAGGGCAGGGTGGGGCAGAAGGCTCTTCAGGCACAGAGGAGTAAGGTAGAGCTAAGTTACTGTGAACTATGTGCTCATCCAAAAGATGCCTACTGTGTTCTGGGCTCTGTGTACGCCATGCTAGACTCCTGCCTTCAGGAAGCATAGACTGTGAGGTGTGTTGGGGGGGAGGCTGGCCCCAGTCAAGTCATCCTGGTAGTGCCCTAGAGGAGGATAGGGTAAGTCTACCTAGGCCATTTGACCCAGACCTTTAGTGAGTGTCAGCTGATGTCTGAAGGGTGAACCAAGCAGGAGGGGAGGGGAGGAGGGCACATACAGAGGCACAGTGGCAGAGAGGATGTAGCAAGCCAAGAGTGAGGGGCTGCTGTGGGCTGAGGCTCGGTGCATAGGACTGAGGATGAGAAGCAGGGAGGACTGAGCCTGGGTGTGCAGGGCTGAGGGTAGGAGTGCAGAGCGGAGCCTAGGTGCCAGGGCCAGGGTATGTGTGCAGGACTGAGGCTGGAGAAGGGAGGGCTGAGCCTGGGTGTGCAGGGCTAAGGCTGAGAGACAAGCAGGCTGAGCCCAGGGCTGTGGAGCTGTGTGGCAGGCTGGGCTGGAGCAGAGACAGGTACGCTGCAGTGAGGAGATTGGTGCTCAGTGACCCCAGGTGTAATGAAGGAAGGGGCCACAGGTGGCTGTGGGCGTGAGGCCAGGGGTGGGAGGTGTTTTAGTTAGGCTCATTGGGGCAGGTGTTGTAGAAAGGCTTCAAAGGCAGATGGGACTGTGGTGGGGGCTCAGAAGGTAGGTTGTGTCAGTGAGAAGTTCAGCCTCGCACAGGTGAAGGCCATGCGGAAAAGGGTAAGGAGCTGAGTGGAGGCAGAATGAAGGTGTGAGGGATGCCGGGAATCCCGTGGGCTCTCCCAGAAGGCCTCGGTATCCTAACTTATTTACTCCGTAGGGTGTGACTGCACCAAGATCCTGGACAGCAGCTTCTCACGCAGCTCCTTCCTGCCTCAGAGTGGGTGAAGTCTCCGGGGAGAGATGGGTGGAGTGATGGGGGTGGGCTGAAGGTTCACGTTGTCGTTGTGGACAGCAGTAGCCACAACTTCCTGGGGCTTTTGCACCAGGGGTTGTGCTTTCCTTTGTCGCATTACCTCCCGGAGAGAGAGTGCCCTTGCTCCATTTTGCAGACAATAAACCGGGTCCAGAAAGGTTGAACTGCTCGCTGGCGGGTCCAGCGCTCAGGGTACCGCATGGAAAACGACGTAGGTTCTGGGGTCCGAGTGTGACCCACTCCCTGTCCCTCTGTCCCTACAGGGCAGTGACCATGGACAAGATCCTGGAGGCGGTGGTGACATCGTCGTACCCTGCGAGCGTGAAACAAGGGCTGGTGCGGCGCGTGCTGGAGGCGGCCCGGCAGCCG